AGTCTGGAGCCGCAGCAGCGCTCTCCGTCATGCCAGCCACGGGTCCCGTGCCGCCCGCCTCACCCCCTGTCCTCGGCCTCCTCCGAGAGCCCATGTATAACTGGCAGGCGACGAAGAGCTCTTTGAAGGAGCGCTTCGCCTTCCTCTTCAACAACGAGCTGCTCAGCGACGTCAGGTTTGTAGTGGGGAAGGGCAGGCAGGCCCAGAGGATACCGGCCCATAAATTCGTCCTGGCCGCTGGCAGTGCCGTTTTTGATGCCATGTTCAACGGAGGCATGGCCACCACCTCGGCTGAAATAGAGCTGCCTGATGTGGAGCCGGCAGCATTTCTCGCCCTGCTCAGGTAAGGCAGGTGTTAACCATGCACTGCGGGCACTTAGCTAGTGGTTCACTAGCAACATTGACCATAGATTGCATTTAAATAGGATGTAGTTTACGTTTTAGCACTGCACACTGGGAATCTCTAAATGGGAGTAGCATGACAGTAACAGTGGGTAAATTCATTAGAAATACCCAGTCGATGAATCAGTCAACAGCAAAACAAACAGTACAAATTCATTCTGACAGTTTTTATGATCGTTCATTCTCACAGGCATTTTTCTGCTTCCAGCTTCTAGTCTATTGGGAGGATTTGCTGCTGTTCTTTGTCTTATGTGATAACAAACTGAATGTCTCATCACCTTGGCTCCTGGGACATTTTCATGGACATTTTTATCTATTTTTGATAAGTATAGCCTACCAGGGACGGCTCGACTAAACAATTAATTAACTAATTAAAATAGCATTTGATCAATATTAAAAATAAAGTACTGTATCTTCAAGATAGCATCTACAGTGAATTAAGCCATGAAAACTGCTGTAATTCCTGCAGGTGTCCCAACCTACTGTATGTTGATTACTTTGAACATCAAATTCTATCTGGTGCAAAGACCATGTTATTACATCCTCTGAAAATGTTTGGAGAAAGGCAATGAACAGAAGAAGTCAGACCTTTTCTTCAGGGTTTCGCCCTAAAAACACCTCCAGGCCACAAAGAAAAGAAGAACAAGATGGCCAGCTTCAGATGGTGAAATGGCCAGCACGGTGTCCAGACTTTCTAGATGAAGAGTGATAGTAAAGCAGCCTAGAAAGTCTGTGACCAAGTTTTGATTTCACTTGTAGAAAAAACGGCACTCGTGTGTTTGGCTGTTGATTTGTGCCAAAAGCAACTGGAAAAATTATGGTATAAATTAGGTGCTGTCTGATGAGAATTAGGAAACTATAAATCTGGTTAGACATCTGATGCCAGCTTTCAGACAGTTTTTGGTGCCCTGTACCAGAGGAGTGCTGCTGTTTTTGGACACCACCTGCATACTACAAATTCCTTTAATGTTTTAACATTTCACTGTGAATTTAGACTGCAGATAAAAACATATACACATTGTTCTGTTTACTCTGTATAGGTTCCTGTATTCTGACGAGGTTCACATTGGTCCAGAGACTGTGATGACGACTCTGTATACAGCTAAGAAGTATGCAGTCCCTGCTCTGGAGGGTCACTGCGTGGAGTTCCTCACCAAGCACCTCAGAGCTGACAATGCATTCATGCTCCTCACTCAGGTAACTGTCAGTCACATCTACTGTGTAGCACATTCTTGACACAAACTGTCTGGCATTACACAACTTGAGTGTATCTGTGGTTTGCCACCTTTGGGTTAATCGGACACAGTGCTTAATAAAAGATACTTAAGTGGCTTCTTTGGATCTTTCATTACAGGCGAGGTTATTTGATGAGCCTCAACTTGCCAGTCTCTGCTTTGACACTATAGACAAAAGCACAGCAGACGCAATAAACGCAGAGGGATTTACAGATATTGACCTTGGTGAGCGAGTCTTCTTGACCCTTTATTTCCTTGTCTACAGCTTGTTCGGATGTGAAATGATAAATATTTGATGTATTTGTATGTGTAGATACTTTATGTGCAGTGCTCGAAAGAGACACACTCAGCATCAGGGAGAACCGTCTGTTTAGGGCGGTAGTACGCTGGGCAGAGGCTGAGTGTTACAGGCAACAGCTTCCCCCAACCTCAGAGAACAAGCAGAAGGTTCTGGGGAAGGCACTCCCACTCATCCGCTTCCCACTCATGACTGTGGAAGAGTTCGCTGCAGGTAAACATATCAGCAGAATATGATCTATTTCTCACAGTCCAATGGTATAGTTTTGCAACACTATACTGAGCAATTTAGTGTTTACTAAACATATTCATCTCATGTTCCTGATGTGACCATACAACTCAAACCACAGAAACCAGTTTGATATTCTTTCTTGTGCAACAGGGCCTGCCCAGTCTGGGATATTGTTCGATCGGGAGGTGGTAAATCTGTTTTTACACTTTACAGTAAACCCCAAACCACGGGTCGACTACATTGACAGGCCCCGCTGCTGCCTCAGGGGGGAGGAGTGTAGCATTAATAGGTTCCAGGAGGTTGAGAGTCGGTGGGGGTACAGTGGTACCAGCGACAGAATCAGGTGAGGCAACATATTAGGAAGCAATTGTTAATCTGAGCAAACTGCATTCATGGGTTTTTTTTTCCTCTTTGTCTGTATTTCTCTTTTTGTAGATTCAATGTTAGCAGAAGAATATCCATAGTGGGTTTTGGCTTGTATGGCTCGATACACGGACCCACCGACTATCAGGTCAACATACAGGTAGCTAACAGCAATAAGTGATGATAAAGAAAAGAGAGTGAGACGTTTACACTTTTTGGTACCATCTGGTATTGCAAAAATAAATAAATACAATACAAAGAAACCGTGTCAATTCCAATATAAAAAAGATGACAACCTTTTTTTTTTTTTTTTTTTACAAATCCCTCTTGTTTTTAATTTAATACAAAAGCCAACCTTATTATGAGTACAGTGCTGTCTTAATGCAAGAACTTTGCCAATGTACTTTTTTCTTTTAAGTGTAAATAAACAAAATTATGGTTTAATTCATAAATTGTCTGATTACAGGTTTTTTTGAGATCAGAGTAAGGATTCCAGTGCTGATACTGTATGATACATTTTATTTTAAAAAAAGCATTGGGGATTGATAATTAACTTTCTGGTGAGCCCACTTTCCCTTACGTTGTGTGGTTCATGTACAATATGAACAAGTCTATTGTCATTGCACCATTTTCAAATCAGCCTAGCATAAAAATGCACATGAAAACAAGTAAATGGAAGCCTATCCTTTCTTTTTTTGTGGATTTTTCTCTGTGGGATCATTTAAATGTAGCTTTAAGTGGTTGCTCTTTGAACTCAAACTGAACCTTCTCATTTACAAAAGTATTCTGACGCTTAATTCAGTACTAACTAGAAGCCCATTTGGCAGCAGCCACAGCATCTAGTTTTCCTGGATTTGTCTCCACAAGCTTTGCACATCTGGATTTGGACAGTTTATTCCATTCTTACTTGGCTGCACATCCCATGTTCACTACTTCTTAAATTGCATTGCGCTCCAATTTGAGTCCACTTAAGTGGGTAAAATGTAGTCATCACTAAAATAGAGCACTGGGTGATAAATGATTTCAGGTAAAGCCAATTCTTCTATTTACCAACCAAGTATAATAAACCACCAGACAGATGAACTGAGAAACAGATGGTACCTTGCCAGCTTGAAATTTGTTAGAAAGTGGATTTTTCCTTTGCACTTTGTTGTACATTCAGCAAAGTCATGATCCTGTCCTGCAGATCATTGCGAGCGACAAGCGCATTACACTGGGACAGAACGACACAGGGTTCAGCTGTGACGGCTCAGCGAGCACGTTCCGAGTGATGTTCAAAGAACCTGTGGAAATCCTACCTAGTGTCAGCTACACTGCATGTGCCACATTAAAGGTCAGTCAGAGCTTGGCGTGTTTAAAATTCTCCCAAACTGAATGAATGAACATGATCTGTTTTACCTGTGATGAGGATTAACCTAGTGCATGTTTTTAATTTTCCAACTCAGGGCCCAGATTCACATTATGGCACAAAAGGGTTGAAGAAAGTGATCCAGGAATCAGCTACAGGGACCAAGACAACCTTTTTCTTTTTTAGTTCACCTGGAAATAACAATGGTACATCAGTGGAAGACGGGCAGATACCAGAGATCATCTACTACACCTAGACTTAACACGGTGTCATGCAGGTACACTGAACCGGGGAGAACTCGGACTGCTGGGAAGACTGGACCGCTAAAGACACGTGGTGCCTCACGATCCCTTGGAATAAAGTGTGTGTGTGTGTGTGTACGTGTGCGTGCTGAATGCTATATGTGCATGTCTGTCTATATAAACATGGTGTACAGACATGATCTGGAATGTGCAAACACAGTTGTGGAGACAAAATACATCTCTAGTGTGACAAAAACTTTTTGGGCATAAACTGCGTCAGTTGTAAATGATCTAAAGACTGATGTTCTATATGTGTGTTATTAATAGTAAGCTCCCGGTACAGTGCAGTCAAACTGCAGCGACAACTGCCATTTGTTGGTCGATGCCATTTAATTTAGTTGTTTTGTCAGTTCTGGCTGATGCATTTCTTTAAAGTATAATATTTGCATTTTTTATCGTGCACTGTTATCATTTATTCAGTAGGTGTTTTCGTACTTTGTTTTTGCATTGTATTAAGGATCTATGTGTGTTATGTAACTTTGCCGGTGGTACCTGCTTTAATTTATGACTTCATATTTACTTAGCACTTCAGTAAAATGTCAATTTAAAAAAGTATAAATAAATGATTGAAAAGTCTATTTTTAAGTTTTTGGCAATAAAATGTGGTAAGACCAGAGTATGATTGTTTCCTTGGATTAACTTCAGATGAAGTTGGCCTTAGATAAGTCATTTATGCATAAATTAGATTATTTCTCTTCCTGTCACTAGGTGATGCTAAACACTATTTACAGAGACCTATCAAACTACCAAGCACATTAATGGGGGGGAGTAGCATGGACAGACTAGTGGTGCCAGATCAATAGAAGAGAAGATTTAAAAAATCTAAATGAGAAAGTAACTTTTATCGCACTGAAAGTCAGAGAAATGCACAGTGGTCGAAGTATCAGTAAGTAAAAGTACCAATCTAGTCATGTAGAATTATTAATAGTTTTATCAAAAACCTGCTTTAAAAATGTACAAAAGTAGTTCTTAAAGTAACAAAAGTAAAGCTAATGGTTCAACAGATACACGGGCCTTGACTGACATGTAAGGAGCTAATAATGTAGCTGGATGTGGACCTATTCTAAAATGACTTTCTGTTCATTTATTTCGTTTTTGGTTAATACTGTAACACTGCCTCTTTTTTAAAACCCGTGATGTTTTGATGAAAAAACTAATTAATAACTAGCTGTCAAGATGTACTAGAGTGAAAAGTGCAGTATTGACTTCTGATCCGTAAGGCTGAAATAAAATCGAAGTACAACGGCAATCTAAAAATATATGTGCACTACTTTAGTAAATGTACTTAGTTACTTTCTGCCACTGGCTTTAGCTAAATTTTAAGTGGTCACAAACTAAAAATGTTGATGATAAATGATCATCTTTTAATCATGATACTGTATATGCACTCATGATAGTTATACCTGAACAACTTAATTTTCATTTTATTAGAAGGTTGTGAACAAAGACACAAGTGCAGCAAAGCACTATGTCCCTCAACCCAGAAAGTAACAGAAAAGCAGAAAATAGTCAACAATTTAGCTTCTCTTGTGTCCTCCCAAATCCTGATGCAAATCTCAACAATATCATCCACAATAAAGCCATACATTCTGCTGAAAGTTGTGTCCACAGCACAAAGCTGAAGTGCTCTTAAATTTAATAATCTGCACAACCGCACGAGACAGGCGATGAAAACAAGACCACTGAACAGCTGTGAGTGGGCTCCATGGAGGCTGTCAGGTGATTCACCAGGACCTGAGTGCTGCTCCTGCTGACCGCCCACTTAGACAGCCTTTATAACAGAAAGTAACCCAAGAAAATCTGTTTCAGACAGGTTTTAGCCACCCACCAGACACAGAGCACTCAAAAATCAAGAGGACAGATAAGACAACAGCATTAAAACATTTAAAGGTCTTAAGGGACTATAAGAATCAAGTTCACTGAAAGCTCTCTGTATTCAGAGGATGACAGAGGCAAGTTTCCAGTGATAAAGAGGTAAATATGAAGTATATAGGGAATAATTCAAGTATGTAGATATTTTCTTCAGCTATTAGGTTATAAATCGACAACTGTGATTTTCTGACGTGTGTGGTTGTATTTCTCTCTCTGTGTGTCAACATATGACATATGTGCAGGACTGACGTGTCGGTGTGGTACTGAAGCAGACTCACGTTGCCATGAGCAATACAGAGAAAGGCTTTTATCTCTTCAGTTTGCCTCTATAGCACAACTCTGTTTTGTTATTGAACATCATAGCCAACATTACTAAAATTATAAAGCTTCTCAGTAATTTGTAGCCTGATTTATATTTTGAAGAGAGCTTGGACCATGAAGGATTTGTCACTCCACCATTTGTATTTTTATTTTCAACTAGTGTTAGGTTTTATTATGCTGCTGGTTGTATGTGCCACACTGGAACAGTACCTATGATTATTTGAAAATCTGAAAACATTAACGTAACTCAGGTGCTTAAACAGCCACCAAATAAAGATTACATGTCAGCAACAGATTATAGTGATGATTGAAAAAGTGTAGGCAGAGTTTAATACAGCTCCCTTTCTCACTATACAAACTTAGAACATTTATGAACAAGACACATAGTTCGGACCAAGGCTAAACTCATTTTATTATTTGCATTTTCTCAGAATTTTATGCCACTGAGGATAGAATCATCTACCGTCTAATTGGTTTCACATCCAGTTTGTACGGCCTCTTGTGAAGGGATTCTTTGTTAAAATCTAGTTTTGCTGATGCAGCAGAACTAGAGTTAATACTTCGTTGTATTTCATTCTCCATCCTTGTCATACATAACCTGGTGCTTTACTGTTACCCACAGTGCAACTCAACTGCAGAGAGGCTGATCAGAGATTTTAATGTGCTAGCAAGAGAAGTTCATTTCTTTCTCACTCTCATTGTTCCCCCACCCCCAAAAGCTGTATTCTTCAGGCCCAGGTATCAATGACTCAAGTGACATCACTTGAGGTTATTTATTATTTTTCACATAGTTACCACTGGAGCCACAACATTTTTCCACGTATGCAAATGTATTAAGTTCTCCACTGAGATATTACATTTAAGTTCATTTAAGGCTTCATTCAGTATTCTATGACCAGTATTTCTTTGTGCAGTCTAATTAAATTAAACCACATTAGACTGTAAAACCCTTTTAGAAAACTGAATTGGTTTAGTCCAAGACTGCACTCTATCAGTCACTCTGAATTTTGACTGCATTGTGCAGCCCATCCTGTAATTTGCCAGCATGATTAATACTTTGTTATATTTATTTAAATATTCTGCACACCCAGTTAGAATGACACATCCTATATGGCTGTAATCCATTTAAAAACCTTTATGCATAATGTTCTAGTATAAGATCCAGCTTTGTGTGTGTGTCCAAACCACTTCGTAACAACATCAACCTGCAGGGATGTGTGTGTGTGTGTGTGTGTGTGTGTGTGTGTGTGTGTGTGTGTGTGTGTCTGCTCCTCCAGCTGGTGGGAGTTATGCAACCTGTTTCCAGTGGTACAGGACAGTCTGGTAATTAATTACCATGTAGTCTACATATATAGGACACTGTGGTGATCACTGGGTGTTGTACTTTGTCAACTGGAACTGCTCATTTCACTTATCTCACTTTATTGTTCAGAAAAGGAGAAAGAAAAGGAACGTCGGTGTGTTTTCCCTGAAGTTTTAGAAGTTTGCTTTCAGTGAATTCTGATGAAGGATGCATCAGAACACTATCATTATACTGAGAGTAGACAGTTAGAACATTGCTAAACAAGAGGGCTTAAGAAAAATTAAATGAAAGACACAAACACAACAAATTCCTTGACTTTACCTATATTGGGCTACTGGTTTCAAAAAAGAGCATTTGTTCTATTCAAAGAAAATCTTTGTCTGTGACCTTTGAGTGTGATTTTCATTAATATTCAAAAATATAAATTTTCAGCTGTGGATTAATGTGCAAGGGTGGTGATGTTCTTCATCCTGAAGTCTAAGTGCAGCCTTGTTGGCAGTTAAGAACAAAGCAGACTCATGAGTGGAATCAAAATTTGCATAGTATACACCGTTGAATTCAAGAATGTCCCCCCCTTGAGACCCAGTCATTGCATTTTGACTGTCAAAAATCATGTCACATACATCTATAAAATGAATGCCCACGCACTGACAAAATGTTCCTCAGAATGCCAAAAAGATACATTAATTCCATGTTTTAAGAGTGATGCAGTGAATAGATGTGAATAAAAAGGAATGTTTCAGTCAAGGTCAGCACAACTTCCAGACCCTGTAATTCTACAGACATAAATAGGCAGTCAGGTTTCAGCAAAGACCATTTGCTGCAGTCAAAAATTGCCCTGAAACCAGCTTCATTTCTACACTGAAAAGATTTTCAGAATAGGTTGCACTATGTCTAATTCATATGACATGTTAGCCTGTCCTTAGGGTAAAGCACCTTTGGATAACAGTGACAGAATCTGTCTTACACTACTGTGTGTGGTGATATTCCTAGTGATGGATGAAGTATTGAGAAAAGAAACAATACAAATGTGTTGCATAATGTATATCTGTTCTTTGCTACTCTGATGAATTACAACTGTAAAATACAACACTGTTGATGCATCAGTATTAACAGTGTAATGATGTCATATAAAACTGGCCTGGACCAACCTTAGTCCCTGTACTCTCCAACATCAGATGTAGGTCGCTGAGCGCTTGAGGGGCCGGGTGATACGGTGTGTTGCTGGGGTGGACATAGTGTTCAGAGGACACTCTTGTATGTGTGCGTGCACTTGGGGTGGGGTGTGAGGGGATGATTGTAGTGGATGAGTGCATTATCAAGGACATGGCCCCCAGCACACTGTCTCCATTGCTGTCGCATTGCATCGTCACAAACAGGCCACATGAAGCCTGACAGCCAGGCAGACCAGACTCAAGGAACTGGCACTGGTCCCTCACTGTGGCTTTCTCTATTTGCTTCCTTCTCTCCCACTCTCCAAGCCTCACTCTACATTCATAGCTTATAAATTAAAATAATGGATTTGAGCTGAATGAATTCTTCACTTAAACAATGTTGTGCTGCTGATTTTTTCTTAATGTAGCAATAATTTAAAAATGTACTCACCCTGAAATGTGTTGGGTTCCATTAACAATAAAAGTGCATTAAATCAATCAGAGCACACGTCGTCACCCACGGGACTGGAGTAATATCCAGACGCATGGATTAGTTTTATTAACAGTGTGAACTTGACACAGGGTCAGACCTTTGAGGATTTCACAAGGATGTCTCACTCTGTTTTGATCTGAAACCTTGGTATTAACTGTATTCCATACCTACAAATCAAAAGCAGGTTTTTGTAGCATATGTACACTGAAATGTGGCAAAAGAGAGAGCATCCACAGCCATGCTACACTTTTTCACACCAGGAGGCTAGTGTGCCCAGTCAGGAAATAATCCATCATATAACCCCCCCCCATACAAACAAAGCATTTAGTTTTTACATTTTGGATTTTGTACAGAATAAGCAGATGAGTTAGAAACAGTTAATTAATGAGCTTTAGAGGTGCTGGTATGCTCATTCTGTTCTCTTTGGGCAGAGCCAGGCTAATACAGTCTTTGTGCTAAGCAAAGCTAATTAGCTGCTTACTGTAGCCTTATGTAGACATACAAGTTCTCCTCCAACTCCCAGCAAGAAAGCAAATTAAATTTCCAAAAATGTTCAACTATTTAACAGTAAATCATGTCCTGTTTACTTGCTAGACACTGATCTAACCCCTTAAAACCACTAAGTGCAACAGTTCCATTTTAATATTTCTTGTCCAGCACAACCCAGGGTGACATTTTTCTAATCTAAACAGATCACAGTGGTGATGGCAGCCTTCTTTCCCACTGCTAGTTTCAGCACATCCCCCACACACTTTCTCCCTAACCTCCCTCCCATCACCACAGCTGATAGCACTGCACTGAACTGTTAACCCCATCTTCACCACAGCCATAAATAGAAACCAGAGAATGGTATTCAGGCAGCGATGAAACAATGCGCTGGGTTTCTGTTCGTGTTGTGGATAAGTGAAGGGGGGGCCGATGAGTCCAGTCACCATTTGTGTCTGAAATGAGATCTGCTCTGAATGGACTGAGATACACAAAATCTGACATCTTTAGGCAACGAGCTACTAACAGCCTCATTAAATTCTTGATTTTCAAGCCTGCATTGAAAGTTTTGAAACAACTACAGTGGGTACGGAAAGTATTCAGACCCCCTTAAATTTTTCACTCTTTGTTATATTGCAGCCATATGCTAAAATCATTTAAGTTACATTAATGTTTTCAGTTTTTCTTTTTTAATAAATCTGCAAAAATGTCAAAAAAATCTGTTTTTCTGTCAATATGGGGTGCTTTCATGTGTCTTGCACTGAGGAGAGGCTTCCGTCAGGCCACTCTGCCATAAAGCCCCGACTGGTGGAGGGCTGCAGTGATGGTTGACTTTCTACAACTTTCTCCCATCTCCCGACTGCATCTCTAGAGCTCAGCCACAGTCATCTTTGGGTTCTTCTGTACCTCTCTCACCAAGGCTCTTCTCCCCCGATAGCTCAGTTTGGCCGGACGGCCAGCTCTAGGAAGGGTTCTGGTCGTCCCAAACGTCTTCCATTTAAGGATTATGGAGGCCACTGTGCTCTTAGGAACCTTAAGTGCAGCAGAAATTTTTTTGTAACCTTGGCCAGATCTGTGCCTTGCCACAATTCTGTCTCTGAGCGCTTCAGGCAGTTCCGTTGACCTCATGATTCTCATTTGCTCTGACATGCACGGT